TTAAAGTCCCCTCGGATGCTTAATGCTAAACAACTCCGGTGGGCTGACTTCTTTGCTAAGTTCCAGTTCACGCTCCACCATTTTCCCGGGTCTTCCAACTCGCTGGCTGATGCTTTGTCACGCCTCCCTCAGCACGACAGCCAATCGGAGGTAGTTATTGACTCAGTGTTCACTCCAAAGCAACTGGGAGGGGCTAGGAAGCTTCCCACGCCTCTGAGTTCTTCGGTGGCCGCAAGTCCACCCCCCCCTCCTGCGGGGGATTGGAAAGCTAAATACCGTTCTGCCTTCTCCAGTGAGGATGAGACTGTGATTCGTGCCTTTCCTGACTGTGTGCGCGACCCCGAGGGGTTTGTTTACTCCAGCCACCGGCTTTATGTCCCAATTTCTCTTCGCAGGGACATCCTGCACTCTGCGCATGGCTCCAAACTGTCGGGCCACTGGTGTTTCGTCAAATCTCTCCAACTCCTACGCAGACAGTTCTGGTGGCCACACATGCGCAAAGATCTTCTGGAGTTCGTACGCTCTTGTCAGACCTGCGCACTGTCCAAGCCCCAACGGGGGAAGCCGGCTGGACTCCTTCATCCTCTCCCCACCCCTTCCAGGCCATGGGAAGTGGTTTCTATGGATTTCATCACTGACTTGCCTCCCAGCAAAGGGAAAACAGTGATTTGGATTGTGGTTGATTTGTTCTCTAAGCAAGCTCATTTTGTACCGTTCCCTAGCTTGCCCACTGCCCAGGCTTTGGCTAAAGCCTTCTTCGGTAATGTGGTCCGCCTCCATCTTTTGCCTGCCAAGGTCATTTCAGACAGGGGGACCCAATTTGTTTCTAAATTCTGGCGGGAATTGTTGTCTCTCATGGGGGTGGAGCAGGGATTGAGCAGCGCTTACCATCCCGAGACTGACGGACAAACAGAACGTCTTAATCAAACCTTGGAACAATATTTGCGTTGTTTCACAAACTATCAACAATCTGATTGGTGTGACTTGCTCCCCTTAGCAGAATATTGTTATAACAATACGGTTCATTCTTCCATTGGTATGTCTCCTTTTAAAGCTGTATTTGGATACGATAGCCCTCCTCTCCCTTTTCTTGACAGGTCGGGGGATGACTCCAAACCCCATTCTGATGCGGACTCGTGGTGCCAGTCTCTACAATCAGCTTGGCCTCTACTGTGTCACACTCTTGATTTGGCTAAAGAAAAATATAAAGTGCAAGCTGATAAACATAGAGCCAAGGAATGGGATATCAAACCTGGTGATTCGGTTTATGTTTCCACAAAAAACATTAAAATGTTACGTCCCAGTAAAAAACTGGGTTGGAAATACATTGGTCCATTCAAGGTTCGCAAAGTGTTGAATGGTGTGGCTGTTGATGTACTTTTGCCTAAAAACTTACAATCTTTACATTCTGTATTCCATGTCAGTTTGTTGAAAAAAGATACTGGTCAATGTCAATGGAGGAACAGTAATGTTCAACCACCTCCTGTTTTGGTGGACGGCCAGGAACATTATGAAATTTCTGGCATTCTTGATTCCCGGCTCAAACGTGGTAAACTGTGGTGTCTTGTGGAATGGGTTGATTTCGGTCCCCAGCACCGCGAATGGGTGGAAGAAGGGGATATTCGGGCCCCTTATCATGTTCGGGCGTTTCACAAGCAGTTCCCGGGCAAACCTGGAGGTCTCCCGGGCAAACCGGGAGATCTCCCGCCCAGGCCGGGAGACGGTGGGTGAGTGGTATTTTCGGGTGGGCAGTATGTCAGCGAGCTGCCATTTCTCTGGGATGTGTCCCTCTTCCCTCCCTCCCCGTGTTATTCTCTTCTGGTATGCGACTGTAACTGCCAAGCTTCTCCTACAGGTGGACGATGGAGTGTTATGTCTTCTTGCCTTGCTTAATTAGATTCCCGTGTGAACTGAACTTGTGTTTATGGTATGAGCCGTTGGAGTTCTCAGGCTGCTTCGCGCCTTTTCTAATCAACTCCCTTGCGAGGGAGTTTAGCCCATTGGGTTAACCAAGTTTGAAGTTCCTATATTATACTGCCCCTGTGTATTGTAGTCATTCTGGACAATTCTCTGTATGTTCATGATCAACCATGCTTTGGAAATAAATCTTACTTCTTTGGAACGTGGGTTTGTTCTCCTGCTTTGGGGGTCTGACACCAGGTTGCAGTGGCCATAGTTTGCTATGATACTTCAACAGAGTATGATTAGTGCTAACCATCAATGTCATGCTTTGCAAACCCCGCTTCCGTCCATGGTTTGGAGACTGGTACTAGCCAGAGGCTGCTCAGTTAGGACATCTTAGCAAACTATGGTTGTCACGGCCTGTAAAAGGTTGGAGAGACTTGTGAGGGGAGAAGGAGTATATGAGGCTGTGGCACATTCAGGATTTTCCAAACTGTGGTTTGGAAGATTGTCCAAATGGAGCCATAAATATATGTAAGGAATGTCACAGTACAGATGCTGGATGGCCAGATGTAATTGTGCACTGTAGGCCTGATCAATATAGTCAGTGGTCTGTTTTAAGGGAAGAATGTTATTATGGGAATAGCCACCAATTGGCCTGCAAAAGAAACTGTTTATAGCAAGCAAGTAACTCATATGGTAATGAGTACTCTCTCTAAGCCATGGAGTCTTGCCAGCAAAAATTGTAGATTTGTGAGCTAGTGGCATTAAAGTTGTGAGCAAGTGATTTGTCTACTGCATAAATTAGTTTGCTCTGGAGCCATCCTTCCTGAGCTAAGGCAAAAATATGTGAGCCGGAGACTAAAAACTGCGAGCTAGCTCACACTAACTCAGCTTAGAGGGAACATTGATGGTAATGACATGTCAGTTGGTAATCTGTTTCTGTGTGCGTACCATATATGCTTTGGGGAGCAGCATCTAAACAGTGGTTGATCAAAGACCAGTCATTAAATATGTACCCTAATGGAAGGCACTAATCTTGTGTTAATGGACAGGAGATGTTTTAGTTCTGGGCTCAGATATCCTCTCATTCAAGGCAATTGATTCAGTTAAGATAAAGCCATTTATGAAGCTGTTCGGGTGATTTCTTATTTTCTCAGCCGCATGGGTCTTTGTCATTTCATACAGTGTGGCTTTCTATCCCCCCTCCCCCCTTTTTAGATAAGATGTGAAGGAATCAGATTGTTTCTCCTCTGGCTGCAAGCTCTCCAGACCAATTGTGCAGAAGAACAGCTGTTAATCTTCGCCTGCCTCGTTCCCGGTTTTCCTGCAGTGATGTCGTCCAACGGTCCATGTACACTGGATACCCTCATTAGCCCGCCCCTCCACTTGCCAGATGGTTCGTAGTTCTTTGTAGAGTTTCTGGTGTCGTGGTGAAGTGCATGGACTCTAATCAGGGAGAACCGGGTTTAATTCCCCACTCATCCACTTGCACCTGCTGGATGACCTTGGGCAAGCCGTAGTTCTGTCAGAGATGTTCTTGAAAAAGAGCAGTATCTGTCAAGAACTCTCTCAGCCCCACCCACCTCACAGGGTGTCTGTTGTGGGGAGGGGAAGGGAAAGGAGTTTGTAAACCGCTCTGAGACACCTTTGGGTAGTGAAGGGTGGGGTATAAATCCAATCTCCTCCTCCTCCTCCTCCTCTTCTTCTGTCAAGTTTCCAGGTTGGAGTATTGATTGGTAGGTTTTAATATACCCATAAAGAAGTATGGACTCAGATTGGACAGTCTCAGCCAGTCTCTCTCTCTCCCCCCCCCCCCCGGATTTGAACTGATTCGGGGTAGTCACCCTCATGATAAAACAGGTAGACCGTTTCTGGCTGTGGGGCCCTCTGATTGCCTGCAAATATATGAATGGGAGTCCACTTGAAGATCTTGTCCTTTCTCCACTCACCTGCCTCACAGACCAGTGGAGCAACCAGGCCTTCATAGTAATACGTTGCATGTGGTCGGTTTGTGGGGAACCTTTTGAATTGTGGTTCTGGGGAAGCCCTTGGTATTTCTAACCTGCCTCTTGAACATAGCACTGCCTGTCTGCTCAATTTAGTATTATCATTATCAATAATAATAATAATAATAATAATTTCAATTTATTAATCGCTTTCCCCAGTGGGCTCAAAGTGATGTAGAGTTACACATTTTAGACAGGGGACTAACAATGTTCATAGGGGATAGGGAAGACAACATATATTCATTTTAATTGCACATGCTGTCACTGCACGGTGTAAACGTCTTCTGGCTTGGCTCAGTCATTTTCCGAATGGCTGCTTGTCGATGAGGCTTCACGGCCCCAACAAGGTCTCATTTAGGTCAGATCTGGCCCTCGTAACAAATGAGTTCGATACCCCTGGACTAAGGAGGACCCAGGCGTGGACTGGGCCGTGAAAATGGCCCTGTAACAAGTCCAGGTGAGAAGTCCCAGTGATGCTCCAAACACCTTCAGCGGTATCAGCAAGGGGCATTAGCTCCTCATCCGTTACCCCCTCATGCAAACTGGTGACATTCATCAGCAGCAGCATGTGTCATTTCCTGCAGGAGCGCACAGGAGCGGAGCTCCGGCAGTAAAGAGCCCAGTAAAGAGTCCTCCATTGCTGGTGAAACAATGGGCTCTTCCGCCTTGTCATTTTTGTTGCTCGTTTTCCATCTGATCACCAGGCCTTGTTGTAAAAGTTCTATGGCTGACGGGTGAAGGCGGATTTCAGCAGACCTGCTAGTGGAAAATACACTGGGAGGGATCCAGCTGTCCTCCAGGTGGCCTTTCTTGAGCCCAAAGAGCCTCCCTCTGACCTAAGTGGCTTTTCCTGCAATCGAAGACCACTTAAATTCGAGGAGGGCTCCTTAGATTTGAGGGAGGCTTCCAACTTGAGCCAAAAGGGGAGTGTAAAAGTTTTAATAAACAAATAGATGAATTTTACTCAGTGTGTCGGTGTACATACATACTCAAACATCAGAGGAATAATAATAATAATAATAATAATAATAATAATAATAATAATAATAATAATAATAATAATTTCGATGTATTAATCGCTTTCCCCACGAGTGGGCTCAAAGTGATTTACAGTTACACTTTTAGACAGGGGACTAACAATGTTTCATAGGGGGATAGGAGAGACAACATACAATTCATTTTTTTTTTTAAATTGCACACGCTGTGACTGCACGGTGGAAACATCTCTGGCTTGGATCAGTCTTGTCCTGAACGGTTGCGTTGACCAGCTTGATGACGTTGGGGCTTCAGGACCCGTATGTCGTATCGCCACACTGCCACCGCCTGGCCGGAGCATCCCACTGCAGGGATTTTTTGTAGCCGAGTAGTTTCTTCCGCTTTCCGATCCTGGAGCAGGACGTCACGACCGACAGCTAACACCTTCCCACAAGGGAGTTGGTGTGCCCACCCTCTCTAAGGAGTGGTTCCCTTTTTTTCTACTCGCCGAGGCTTTCGAATCGCTGGGTGGACGATGAGCTGGGGACAACAGGCTGGCTGCTCACACCACCGCGGGGCTCGAACTGACACAGTTCGGATGTTAAGGCAGTGGGATATACCCACTGTGCCACCGCTCAGACATGTTTAGTCGTTCATTGAGTATCAATTGAAAGTACGCTTATTGGCAGTTTACTGTGGCATGTGCTGGACAATTACATTGTGTTACCCAAAGAGGCAGTCTCCTAATTAGTTGGGGGAATTAGCTTAAAGGAGACAGAGTGAGATGGGGTAACTGGGATTCTCCACCAATGTTTACGGGGATTTTTCCCTTAAGAGAACTCTCAGATAAATCAGGCAGAAGTTCAACCAGAAAGGTATTTTGTTAGTAAGAAATTGAAATGAGCAAAACATACATACATACACAATGAAAACACGTACAAAGCTAGCTAAGAGAAAATCAGGGAGGAAAGAGGGAGAGCTTTTTGGGGAAGGGTGATAATTACCAATCTCAAAGATGTCCGCAGAAGCAGCAAGTTGAAGAGCAAAACGGCCAGCATTTTGTTCTGTGCAGGAGAGAAAAAGAACCCCACAAAGTGGGGGTATATGTGGTCGCACAACACACACAAACTCTACTAGGAAGCCGGGTGCTTCAGATATAGGGCAAAATGTATCCTGGGGCAGGTTGATGTATTTGCCAGAAAAACAATAGCTTAATGGGCTTGCCTGAGGTGGACAATGGTGTGGGAGAAGTTTGATGACCCCGCAAGTGCCGAGCAAGAAGGGCTAGTGGGTTAGGTGAATAGAATTAAATGTTGATTAACTGCAGCTCTATTAGGGTAAGTGTGTACATCGAGTGAGGCTGTGGGTGTTGATGGAATTAGTCCAAGGGTGAGTCAGTAGGTTTTTGGGAGATGCATTGTCCCAAATTACGCATCTCTCCGAGGTGTGGGGGGGGGGCAGTAAACAGCCATTCTTACTCACACTTCTAAACTACGTGCCCAGACTTGCATCTGACTGGCATCCATTTTTGTTTCATTTTGGGCCAAGCAGTGTCCTGCACTTATGATTTGAGATGATATTTTAAGACGGGTATTTATCATTATTCTAGCTATAAACTGCCCCTCAGCGAGAAGAGGGGTCTGACTGCTAACAATTGAGAATGGAGTTCAAATGGTTATGCCACTGTGTGTTAATTTGTTGAAAAAGTCTTGTTTTCCCTGCTTTCAGCAAAGATTTATCCTGAAGAAATAACACCTCTTCTACCACATGCTACGGGTGAAAAAATTGCCGAGGACTCAACTTGCTACTTTCTTAAGATATTGTTAAAATACATGGTAATCCAGGTGAGTATACATGGTGCAGAGTATCAGTAGAAGTCATTAACTTGGGCCTTCCCCTGGGGGCCTGCGTTTGAACGTTCAGCATGTATATCCCAGAGAGAGAGGGGTTTATTTGAGGCTGAGTCTTATTTGTGGGATACCCTCCCCCCGTGTTTATTTGGCACCATCTTTGTCAATATGTCTCATTTATGTATGCTTTTGAGAGTTGAGAGAGCCAGTTTGGTGTAGTGGTTAAGTGCGCGGACTCTAATCCGGGAGAACCGGGTTTGATTCCCCACTCCTCCACTTGCACCTGGCTGGATGACCTTGGGCAAGCCATAGTTCTGATAAGAGCTGTCTCCGAAATTAAAAAAGAGCAGTATCTGTCAAGAGCTCTCTCAGCCCCACCTACCTCACAGGGTGTCCGTTGTGGGGAGGGGAAGGGAAAGGAGTTTGTAAGCCACTCTGAGACTCCTTTTGGTAGTGTAGGGCGGGGTATAAATCCAATCTCCTCTCTTCTCTCTCAGCCCCACCTACCTCACAGGGTAGTATAAATCCAATCTCTTCTTCTTCTTTTACCTCACAGGGTGTCTGTTGTGAGGAGGGGAAGGGAAAGGAGTTTGTAAGCCGCTCTGAGACTCCTTTGGGTAGTGAAGGGCGGGGTATAAATCCAATCTCCTCTCTTCCCTCTCAGCCCCACCTACCTCCCAGGGTGCCTGTTGTGGGGAGGGGAAGGGAAAGGAGTTTGTAAGCCGCTCTGAGACTCCTTTGGGTAGTGAAGGGCGGGGTATAAATCCAATCTCCTCCTCCTCTTCTTCTTCTTTTTTTAATCTTGACTGTTGCCATCTTCAACTATTAGTTTTGTGCTGCTGTTTTAACTGTTGTTTCTGTTAACGTGTGTGCTTTGACGGTTAAAGTTCTGGGTAGCTCAGGACCTCACATCCTTCAGACATCTTCCTGTGCACCGTCTAAGCAACAATGTTTTTGACGTCTCCCCCACAGTTGGGGAGGCTCATCAGAATCTCATTACTGTTAGTTTTTATTGTGCCGCATGTCTGCATGTTCCCCAGCTTGAGATCTGGAGACGGCACAGGAGAGAGAGGATACTTTAAAACAGAATGGACATTAAACATTTTCAGTGTATAATTGTGATAAACTTATTTTAACTCCGTGAAGGCTGCAAGCTTGGAATGGAAGAACAAGGAGAACCGTGACACTGGCTTTAAGTTCCTCTTTGCCCTGTTCCGACAGTATTATCTTCCTCATTTGTTTCCATCTTTCACAAAACTAACCAACCTCTACAAACCTGTGCTTGGTAGGTATTCATTATTTTTAATCATTTAAATCAATGTGGAAGACTTTTCTGTACCGTATTTCATGCTTCACCACGTATATGCCTTCTTATGCGAATAGGAGCATATTTTGTCCCTTGGCAGGCTATAAATTACTCAGCTCTAGTTCAGCTCCCCAGTTGCTAGTGCGTAGATCTTGAGTCAGGCAGTCTGCAGAGCGGAGGAAGGCAGCATGCATTCGTCTTCAGAGATGCCCAAGCTTGGACATAATGTCCTGTGTGGATGCAATACAGCTCCGCTCCGCAGGAGGCTTCAGACTCCGTTTCTGAAGTGGCGTCAGGCCGTTCTTCCCAGCACGGATCTGGGGACAGATGTTCTGCCCACAGTGCAGCCACGCCTCCGCCAGGAGTGCTGTTTGTACTACCAGTCACTGGATGGGAGCCCCCTTCCTTCGTCTCTCTTCCTCCTGCATGGCTGCTCCTGCATTGCATTCCATGTTCCAGCATTAAGAACATAAGAACATAAGAGACGCCAATGTTGGATCAGGCCAAAGGCCCATCCAGTCCAACACTCTGTATCCCACAGTGGCCAGAAATACCAGGTGCCATCAGGAGGTCCACCAGTGGGGCCAGGACATTAGAAGCCCTCCCACTGTTGGCCCCCCCAAGCACCAAGATGACAGAGCATCACTTGCCTCAGAGCCCCTATCTATACCTTGTGGCTAATAGCCACTGATGGACCTCTGCTCCACATGTTTACCTAGTTCCCTCTTATAAGAACATAACAGAAGCCAGTGTTGGATCAGGCCAGTGGCCCATCCAGTCCTAAGAACATAAAAACATAAGAGACGCCAATGTTGGATCAGGCCAAAGGCCCATCCAGTCCAACACTCTGTATCCCACAGTGGCCAGAAATACCAGGTGCCATCAGGAGGTCCACCAGTGGGGCCAGGACATTAGAAGCCCTCCCACTGTTGACCCCCCCAAGCACCAAGATGACAGAGCATCACTTGCTCCAGAGTCCCTATCTATACCTTGTGGCTAATAGCCACTGATGGACTTCTGCTCCATATAAGAACATAAGAGATGCCTATGTTGGATCAGGCCAAAGGCCCATCCAGTCCAACACTGTATCACACAGTGGCCAGAAATACCAGGTGCCATCAGGAGGTCCACCAGTGGGGCCAGGACATTAGAAGCCCTCCCACTGTTGGCCCCCCCAAGCACCAAGATGACAGAGCATCCCTTGCCCCAGAGTCCCTATCTATACCTTGTGGCTAATAGCCACTGATGGACCTCTGCTCCATATGCTTACCTAATTCCCGCTTGAAGCCGTCCATGCTTGTAGCCGCCACCACCTCCTGTGGCAGTGAATTCCAAGTGTTAATCACTCCACTTAGGGGTCAGTAAACACTGTTGATTCAACACTGTTGAATCTTGTGGGGATTTGGGGTTTTCTGTTGTGTTTTTCATAACCAAATTTAAGACCCGACAAAAGACGTGTGTCACTGTTGCTTGTTGGAAGAACCTGTAGTTATCTGTAATCATCTGTAACTGAATGAAACTTGAAATGTGGGGCTTTCAGTCTTTTGGCAGGTTGCACAGTTGGATTGTTCTCTCAAGCCCTCTTCAAAGTTTCATCACTACTATAAATTTGCTCTCAGGTCCACAGACAAGACCCTTCTCCCGCTCCCTCCCTCCAGAGATACCAGCATCTGTATGGCACTCCTAGCAAGTAAAGGATCGCTGGGAAGCCTGAGGGGTGCCTGCCAGAAGGCTGATGAGTCCCTGGAACACTGGAAAGTTCCTTCATCTCATTTGGGTTGGAAAATATCACTGGCGACTCTTTTTTAATAAAATTTTTAACGTTATTAATTGTTAAGTACACAAAAAAGAGTAATCCAAAAGTAAAACTATCGTTTTAGCCTTTTGATACTGTCCATGGGGGTTTCTTGGCAAAAATAATGCCCACAAAAGTCCGCATGGTCAAAGTAATGGTATTCCCAGTAGTCATGTATGGCTGCGAGAGTTGGACTATAAGGAAGGCCGAGTGCCGAAGAATAGATTCTTTTGAACTATGGTGCTGGAGAAGACTCTTGAGAGTCCCTTGGACTGCAAGGAGATCAAATCAGTCAATCCTAAAAGAAATCCACCCTGACTGTTCCCTGGAAGGCCAGATAATGAAACTGAAGCTCAAATACTTTGGCCACCCAATGAGAAGGGAGCACTCACTAGAGAAGACCCTGATGCTGGGAAAGATTGAAGGTCAAAGAAGACGGGGACGGCAAAGGATGAGATGGTTAGACAGTGTCATAGATGCAACGAACATGAAATTGTTCAATTGTTCAAAGCTCAAATACTTTGGCCACCCAATGAGAAGGGAGCACTCACTGGACAAGACCCTGATGCTGGGAAAGACTGAAGGTCAAAGAAGATGGGGACGGCAAAGGATGAGATGGTTAGACAGTGTCATAGATGCAACAAACATGAAATTGTTCAGTTGTTCAAAGCTCAAATACTTTGGCCACCCAATGAGAAGGGAGCACTCACTGGAGAAGACCCTGATGCTGGGAAAGATTGAAGGTCAAAGAAGACGGGGACGGCAAAGGATGAGATGGTTAGACAGTGTCATAGATGCAACAAACATGAAATTGTTCAGTTGTTCAAAGCTCAAATAATTTGGCCACCCAATGAGAAGGGAGCACTCACTGGACAAGACCCTGATGCTGGGAAAGATTGATGGTCAAAGAAGACGGGGACGGCAAAGGATGAGATGGTTAGACAGTGTCATAGATGCAACGAACATGAAGTTGAGCAAACTTCAGAGGACAGCGGAAGACAGGAGGGCCTGGCGTGATCTGATCCATGGGGTCGCGAAGAGTCGGACTCGACTGTGCGACTGAACAACAACAACAAAAAAACCCCTATCATTATCAGCCGGTAGATACTCCCAGAAAACCTAGGTTAAATCTAAATTTTCGTACAGTTTTCGTACACCCACAAAGCAACTCACATTGGCACCTGTTTGCAATAGCCTTACAGTTTTAACCAGATTCTGTCATCGTTTGTACAAGGAAGAACTTCGTTGTGTCTCAGAAGACCAATAACTGGCTTCCAGATTTCATCATAATCACAGGGTGAAAAAGATAACTGGGAACCAACAAAGAAAGAATGGTTTACTGTTTTCCCCATGATATAAACATCCCAAAGTTTGTCAAACCAGGCATCTATGGAAGACCCAATTGGAAGGGTTTTTCCAATTGGCTGCAATTGCTTGTCATGCAGCTGCAATCAATATCGAAGACCAAGGAACGTTGACTCTTTTCCATTGAATAATCTGGCCATAAATCAAAAATAAAAAGGTCTGGAGATACAGTGAGAGAAATGGCAAGGGGAGACACCTTGATCACCAGCGACTCTTGAAGGTTACCTGTCGCTTGTTGTTGGAGAAGGCCAGGAGCTCCTACCGGTTAGGCAGAAAGGTTACTGAAGATGATGGAGAAATTTTCACTCGTCGTGTTGGGTAGACTGCATCACTCTAACAAGTATTGCTCTCTCATAAATTTTGAGTGTGCCGGAGCAGTCTGCACTCCTCATATTAATCCTTGCAGCAACTTTCCTTCCTGTAGATCAGGTCGCGGCTGGAATATCTCCCCTCCCCCCCTCCCGAGTCTTCATAGCTAAGTCAGCTTTTTAGCTGGGAGATCGCCAGTCCAGTGCCCCATCCATTGGATCTCTGGGGGAAAGATATGAAATTTATAGTATTTCTTCTGGCCCATCGACATAGCATTCTAAATATTTATTTATTTATTTGATTTTTATCCCGCCCTCCCGCCGAAGCGGCTCAGGGCGGCATACAACATCATACAATAAAACAACTCTTCTAAAAACAATCAATACAAACATTAAAACATACTTTACACTCCATAAAACTTATTCAGAATGGCGACTATAAAGTGCTGCATGCTCAGTCCAAGTTGTCGAACGCTTGGCGGAATAATTCTGTCTTAACAGCTCTCCGGAACTGATAGAGATCCCGGAGGGCGCGGATCTCGTGGGGGAGCTGGTTCCACAGTACAGGCGCTACCACGGAGAATGCCCTGGTTCTGGTGGATGTTAATTTGGCATCCCTGGGGCTGGGAGGACTAAGCGATCTTGTGACTCGGATCTCAGTGCTCTCGGGGGAACATACGGGGAAAGGCGGTCCCGCAGGTAGGCAGGCCCCAGACCATAAATAGGCAAGTCAGCCATCCTCCCAGAAAAAGGACACTTGGCTTCAACAGACTCTCAGTGGAAAGAGAACATTAGAGCTATGATGTTTGCAGAAAATTACTAGTGTGATTTGGACCGTAGGTGGGATCAAGAAGACGCATTTAACTGATTATTTTAAGAATTAGGCTATGATACTGTGCTCATTTATGGGAGCAAGTTTAATTGAGGTCATTGATGACATTTAGTCCAAGTAAACAGGGTTTATCTTGCAACAGGTTTACTCAGCAGCCAGTTCCCCTGATGTCAGTGAAATGCATTCTTAAGTAAAGTTGCATGGGATTGTAGCCTTTGTCTATTAAGTAAACCTTAATTTTGGCAATCGTGAAGCTTAATTTTTGCTATCCGGGGGGGGGGGGGAATCATTGTCCCTTATTTATAAAGTAGCTGGGAGATGGGATGCTGGGAACGTTGGGCGGTGTTATTGGACTGCATCAACTTCCATCTTCAAATTGTGATCCCCCCCCCTTTAAATTAAATTTGCGATGTAAAGTGACTCGTCAGCTGTTTCATTTCAGTGCTGTAGATACCTTATGTGTATTTATATTACATTAGAACGGTAATAAATACTAAGGGTACTGCTTACGCTGAGTAACTGATTTCATTGTTTCCACTGAGTGGAAAGGTGACATCCCGAACGTCCGCTCATGTTAGGTCAGGGCTCTCAGATGAAATATTTCCTGTTTTGTGTTTTGCAGACATCCCCGGCCTGCGACCCAAGCCAGCATATGTCAGTACGACTTCTAACAATGAAAATGTTTATACCACGAAGATCCCCTATATGGCTGCTCGCGTCGCTTTTATTAAATGGCTGGTGAACTTTTTTCTGGAGAAGAAATATTTCACGGCAACACAGAACTCGAAAAATGGAGGCGAGGTTTTGCCCAGAATCATTCAAGTATGTTCTGAATTCATTCACTTATTTCCAAATAACCTTAATTTATCTTTGGTGTGAGTTGCTGCCGGCAAGCAGCCTTTAGAGCATTTTGACCGAATCCATCCTGACTTAAGACTTGCCCAGTGTTACGGCCGGCTTGGTGTATCCTAACCTGCACAGGAAACGGTGCTGAGCAGTGCTGGGCGGAGTCAGCTCCCCCACCCCTCAGTGTGGTGCTCCGGCAGCTAAGAGTTCGGTCGACGTTACTCAGCACTAAGGTTGTCCTTCTCCTGCCCAAAAAGTGTGTTCATGTTAATTCTAAAAAACCCCACAAACTTAGCTCAGAAACTTGTGCCCCATTCAATAAACGGTTATGTTAAAAAGAGAGATTTTATAACTGCATCCAGGGCTATTTTGGGGCAGGAACGCACAGGAACGGAGTTCCGCCTGGCTCCCGAGTTGGCCACGCCCAGCAGGAGCTCATTAGCATAATAGGCCACACCCAACAGCAGGAATTCATTAGGATTGGCGACATTAGGGGTGTGGCCTAACATGCAAAGGAGTTCCTGCTACCAAAAAAAGCCTTAGGTTTTGACAACAAACACGGTAAACAGAATAAGAAGCAAAAGGTGGGTGTGGCTGGATGGCCACACGTCTGGTAACATGGGGGTGCAGCCTAATATGCTAATGAGCTATGCTCTCATGGGTGTGGCTGGATATGCTAATGAGTTTCTGTTGTTGGCTGTGGCCTATTATGCTAATGAGTTCCTGCTGGGCTTTTTTCTACAAAAAAAAAGACCTGACTGCATCGTATTCATTAAAACTGTCTGCCTTCTGGAAGTTTGCTGTCAGCGGTAAACGCAAGGAACGGGCAGGTCTTAGTCAGCTCCATTCTCACAAGGATTTTATTCCTCGGCTAAAAGGGAAGTTTTCTTCCAAGAAACACTCTGTTCAGTTCTTGTGAAGTATCTCCAGGTGTCGGAAAGATCAGCGAGTGTGATAAAGTTGCAAGGCGCGTTTAAAAACCGTTAAACAGTTAATATGGTTTGGGTTGACAGTTCTGAAAGCTGGGGACAAAAAAACACAAAGAGAACGGGGAGAAGAGATGGGAGGCATGCGCAGGCCTCTTTCCCCCTGCCGTGGCTTCGAGGGTGTACCTCTGCTCCGGCTTGCACTCTCCGTTGGTTGGTTGGGGCTGGGCTAAACGGGCAGTTTCCACCGGTTCCCCTCCCCACTGCAGACCCCTGCCCCCCTCCCCCTTCATGCCTCTGAGTTCCTCAGGAACAGCATTTTGTAGAGATCAGCATTCTGCAGTAGGAAGTGGGGGGGGCAGGACAGTTCCATCTTGCCCCTGGAATATTTAGTTTGGATCCAACCCCGTGTCTGTGAACTTTGAGGCGCAGGGAACAGGATTCTCTTCTGCCCCGTGAACTCTCTGAGTGAGTGAGCTGTGCCTGTTGAGGGAAGAACGGTGCCCGATAGATTTTTTTTTTTAAAGGGTGGGTGAACCTGAAGAGGGGGAGCCAATCCAGCGTGCAGTTTGTGTCTAGGTAAGACCAGTTTCGAAGCAGGAGTTCACGCAACAGGTGAAGAACCTGCTGTGGATGTCAGTTCTGTCCTCACCTTTGGTTGTTACATGTATCATCTGATGCCGGGAAGGAGGACAGTTTCTTCTTTCAGCCGCGATTTAAAAAGTGCTGATAAAATAGCAAAAGACAGTGCTGCACAGGGCTCTTTTTGTAGAAAAAGCCCAGCAGGAACTCATTAGCATAATAGGCCACACCCAACAGCAGAAACTCATTAGCATATTGGGACACACCCCTGACAGCACAGCTCATTAGCACATTAGGCCGCACCCCCATGTTACCAGAAGTGTGCTCATCCAGCCACACCCACCTTTTGCTTCTTATTCTGTTGACCTTGTTTGTTGTCAAAACCCAGGGCCTTTTTTTGTAGCAGGAACTCCTTTGCATGTTAGGCCACACACCCCGAATGTAGCCAATCCTAATGAGTTTCTGCTGTTGGGTGTGGCCTATTATGCTAATGGGTTCCTGCTGGGCGTGGCCAACTTGGGAGCCAGCCGGAACTCCGTTCCTGTGCGTTCCTGCCCAAAAATAGCCCTGCTGCACACCATCCAGTCCCAGAAAGAAAACTCTTAAGTGGGCCTTGTTGCTGAAGCTGGGTAGGCTGCAGGGTAGACCAAATCCCTTGCATAGCTTAAGAGAACAGTACCTTAGTGGTTGTATTCGTTGCACGAAATCAAACAGTGGAATGACTGAAGCATTTATTCGCCGTTTTGGCGCAGCCCTTGGGAATAGTTCCGTCACGCTTTTTAAAATGTATATTTTCTTTCTGTTCCAGCTGCAGCCAGCGGTGTTGCTTTTCTGAGGGGGAGAGTGACTGGGTGGGCGAAGGCCCTTCAGCCCTTTCCTCTCCAGACAATTATGGGGCAAGTTAATCAATGTTATTTCTCTTCTTCCTTTCTTACTTGTATTGAAGACTGTGGGCGGCACAGTGCAAGACAAAAACCCTGAGACGCAGAACAGCGTCCCGTCAGACCCGGAGAAAAGCCATTCCAACCACAGCCTCTTGCCCGAGAGGAGGCTCAGCAATGCCAGCGTCTGCAGCATTGAAGAGCAACATCGGGCGGTCTACGAGATGGTGCAGCAGGTCCTCTTGTCTACGCGAGGCTACATCAATTTTGTCAATGAAGTGTTTCGCCAGGTTAGCGTTGGGCGTATGCCGTTTATTCTGAGGGAGATTATACCTACATTAGTGCAGGAGGTGCAAATATTATGGATTATTTTGCTATGTCAACTAATTTGGTCCCTTTTATGAAGGCCATGGAAGTAGACGATCTTTAGGTAGAAATCACTTTCTGATATTTTTCTCTCATTTGCAGTCTCTGCCTGTTGACTCTTTGACTCAGTTATCCAGTCATTGGTGCCCTGTCCGCTGGCATGCTAAATTTTAATTTAGTTGTCCATAATTTGCAACATTCTAGGGAGGTTTCCTTGTATAGGGATGAATTCTCCTTAGGTCCATTGTATATAGAGTGACAAGCCTAAGTGCCAGTCAAACGAATCCCAGTCCAAAGACTGAGGTGGAATTGCTGAAGCAGAGCTGCTCAGAGGACAAGGGTCCTTTCCGCACTAGACCTTAAATCCCTGAATTTACATTCTACACTACACTTGAGTTCACCCCTGTAAGAGCCAGTTTGGTGTCGTGGTTAAGTGCGCAGACTCTAATCTGGGAGAACCGGGTTTGATTCCCCACACCTCCACTTGCAGCTGCTGGATGACCTTGGGCAAGCCATAGTTCTGTCAGAGCTGTCCTTGAAAGGGCAGTTCTGGAAAGAGCTCTCTCAGCCCCACCTCCCTCACAGGGTGTCTGCTGTGGGGAGGGGTAGGGGAAGGAGATTGTAAGCTGCTCTGAGACTCTGAGTGAAAGGTGGGGTATAAATCCAATCTTCTCCTCCTCCTCCTCCTTCTCTTCTTCTTCTTATTATTATTATCATCATCATCTTGGGGTATTTTTTGTTTATACATTACATTGAGATCACCCCGGTTTTGCCCCACACTTGTCCTGGGCTAAACGGATGCTGATATAACCAGAGATAAATGCAAGGTATTGTGTTGCAAGAGTTGGACTATATGTATGGCTGCGAGAGTTGGACTATAAGGAAGGCCGAGTGCCGAAGAATAGATTCTTTTGAACTATGGTGCTGGAGAAGACTCTTGAGAGTCCCTTGGACTGCAAGGAGTTCAAATCAGTCAATCCTAAAAGAAATCAACCCTTACTGTTCCCTGGAAGGCCAGTTACTGAAGCTGAAGCTCAAATCCTTTGGCCACCCAATGAGAAGGGAGCACTCACTGGAGAAGACCCTGATGCTGGGAAAGACTGAAGGGAAAAGAAGAAGGGGACGGCAAAGAATGAGATGGTTAGACAGTGTTATCGATGCAACGAACATGAAGTTAAGCAAACTCTGCCGTCCTCCGGAGTTTGCTCAATTTCATGTTCTGTCTAACCATCTGTCTAACACTGTCTAACCATCTCATCCTTTGCCATCCCCTTCTTCTTTTTCCTTCAGTCTTTCCCAGCATCAGAGGCTTCTTTTCCAGTGAGTGCTCCCTTCTCATGGGGTGGCCAAAGTCTTTGAGCTTCAGTTTCATTATCTGGCCTTCCAGGGAACAGTCAGGGTTGATTTCTTTTAGGACTGACTGATTTGATCTCCTTGCAGTCCCAGGGACTCTCGAGAGTCTTCTCCAGCACCATAATTCGAACGCATCTATTCTTCGGCGCTCGGCCTTCCTCATGGTCCAACTCTCGCAGCCATACATTACTGCTGGGAATACCATTGCTTTGACCATACAGACTTTTGTGGGGAGGGTGATGTCTCTACTTTTTATTCCGCTGTCTAGGTTCGCCATTGCTTTCCTCCCAAGGAGCAGGCGTCTTTTAATTTCATGGCTGCTGTCACCGCCTGCAGTGATCTTGAATCCCAGGGTTGTGGAATCTGTCACTGCTTCCACAACTTCCCCTTCTATTTGCCAAGGAGTGATGGGGCCGGCTGCCGTGATCTTAGTTTTTCTGATGTTGAGTTTCAAGGCCGCTTTTCCGCTCTCCTCTTTCACTCTTAGCAAGAGGCTCTTTAGCTCCTTTTTACTTTCTGCCACTAGAGTGGTATCGTCTGCACTCCTGCTTCTTGCCCATCCTTGCACTGTCTCACTGGGCTGAGGGAGGCACTTTCTTGTTCTGTAGAGGAACGGGCCTCATTCGTGTGACCCACTTGTTCTCTGGGGCTCTGCCTGCTGGGCTAGGCCAGGGGTTTGATTTGCAATCATTGTAAGGCCAAGGGGAGGGAGGAGAGAGTCAGAGGCTCCTCTTCGGAGTCTTCTCGCTCCCCCTTCCCCGGCACACTGCAAGAACCCTGCCCTGTAGTCAGGAAAGGAGGAAAAGTCAGGCTGGGCTGTAGAACTGGTGAGTATGTTGGTGGAATAGAGGCAGAGGCCTCTGCTTTGCCTTCCTAATGGGGGGGGGGGGATAGAGTCCCAGCAGTAGGTTTATTTATTTATTTATTTATCGCATTTATATCCCGCCCATCCTGTAAAACGGGCTCAGGGCAGGTGACAACATTTCCATAAATACAATAAAATTTAAAAACGCATTCTAAACATATAAAAATCAATCATCACAGCTTGCCGTAGGGAGAATCCGGCCCATTGATGTAGGTAGGTATGGCCGGTTATCAGTGGGTGGGAGACAGCAACCTCGGGGGGGACCATGTGTGGGCGCCCGCTGCCCCAGCCAAAGGACTGGCGGAAGAGCTCCATCTTGGAGGCCCTGCGGAACGGAATAAGATCCCGCAGGGCCCTGATCTCAGTAGGGAGCTTGTTCCATCAGGTGGGGGCCAGGGCAGGGAAGGCCCTGGCCCTGGTCGAGGCGAGGCGAGGTGGACGTCCTTTGGGCCAGGGACCACCAGGAGAGGTTGACTCTCAGAGTGTAGCGCTCTTCGAGGCGTATATGGGAAGAGGCGGTCCCTTAGGCAGGGCTATTTTGGGACAGGAACGGAGTTCCGGCTGGCTCACGAGTTGGCCACGCCCAGCAGGAACTCATTAGCATAATAGGCCACACCCAACAGCAGAAACTCATTAGGATTGGCTACATTCGGGGTGTGTGGCCTAACATGCAAAGGAGTTCCTGCTACAAAAAAAACCTCTGGGCTTTGAGAACAAAGTAAACAGAATAAGAAGCAAAAGGTGGGTGTGGCTGGATGAGCACACTTCTGGTAACATGGGGGTGTGGCCTAATATGCTAATGTGCTGTGCTGTCAAGGGTGTGGCCTAATATGCTAATGAGTGTCTGCTGTTGGGTGTGGCCTGTTATGCTAATGAGTTCCTGCTGGGCTTGTTCTACAAAAAGAGCCCTGCTTAGGTATGTTTGTCCCAGGCCATATAAGGCTTTGAAGGTGATTACCAGCACCTTGAAGCATCAGTGCACACCCAGTGCAGCCGACAAAGCACATGCCGAATGTGAGCCCGCACAGGCGTCGATGTCAGCAGGCATGGCGCCACATTTTGTACCATCTGTTTCCAGGGTCTCTGGCAGAGACCGTGTGTGTAGCCTGCTAGATGAGAACAGTGGTCCATCTGGACCAGCAACATGTTTCACCCAGCAGCCAGCCAGTTGCTCTGGAGTACCAAACAGGGCTGGAAGGCCAAGCCCCTCCCCACAGCCGCCTCCCAGCTCTGGTTTTCTGAAGTTTCCTGCCTCTGTAGATGGCGGCCACCATAGCTGATAGCCATTGTCCTCTTCTCCATGAATCTGTCTAACCCCCTTTTAAAGATACCTGTGCTCATGACCATCATTCCCTCCAGAGAAAAGTCTTTCCCAGTGCTTGCCACCAAAGATCTTTTTTTTTTTTAATTTAAGCTTCTGAATCAGTTATTGAAACCGGCACCTTCTGCAGGCAAAGCATGTGCTGTAATGCTGAGCTGCAGTGCTTTTTCCTAAGTCACTTAGCGGTGGGACCTACATCTAAACTTTATTTTCCAGGATTTATTTACAAATCGCTCCATGCTACTTTCCTCCAATATACACTGCAGGCATCTCATGCCAGTAAACACTGAGCAAGTTTATATTTTATTTTTCACCTTAATTTATAAATATACAGTACAGCATGACTGAGCAACAGGCTGTATTTCATGGCAGTTTCATGAACAATGCAGAGACAAACCCCCAATTGCAGCTGAGCCTCCAAGTATGCCTCTCTCACTGTGAGGGTCGTGATCCACCTCTGGGTCCTGAGCCACGGTTTGAGAACAACTTCCCTGGGGTTATGCAGGTGGGAGCAAAATAAACAATAGAAATATTTTCTTCTCTGTTATCTCTGAACAGAGCTGTATTTCTAGGAAAAGCAGCAAGAAGGACCAGAGCTGGCAATTTTTTTGTGTGTGTATAGTTTTCTAGAGAAGAAAAATTAATGGGCTGGGATATTGTTAGCTGGGTCCCTGTTAGGCTGCCCTCTTCTGGTACAAAGATGAACAAATTTAGAGTCCGGTGGCACCTTTAAGACCAAGACAGGCTTATTGAAGGTATGAGCTTTCCTGTGCAAGGCACGCTTTGTCAAATACGTTAGAATGGCAGGCAAGGTTCACACTTGTAGCCAGAGAATGAACAGCAAATACAAACAGCAAATACAAATACAAAGATGAATTACAGTAATTTAACATCATCCTTGCAATGTTCCCTCTTAGCTGTGGAGTCTTGTGAGCAAAAATTCTACTTTGTGAGCTACTGGCATCAAAGTTGTGAGCGAGTGACTTGGCTACTGCATAAATTAGTTTGCTCTGGAGCCCCATCCTTCCTGAGCAAAGACAAAAATGTGTGAGCGGGAGGCTAAAAAACTCTGAGCTAGCTCACACTGACTCAGCTTAGAGGGAACACTGCATCCTTGTACAGTTGCAGGCAGCAAGCCACAAACACCCGAGCGACTTGCACATAGGTTTTCTCCCTCTTTCATGAGGTCTGTGAGTCATCTTGAGCACATGGATGTCCTGGGCAGGACAGGCAAGTCCCCACGTCGTATATCATAGCCGCATGGGATTGTAAGATTACGCCACTGGTTCTTCCGCCACCTGTGATGGATTGGCTGTTTGAGTTGCACCACAGCATTTAATTTACATGCAGGTCCTAGGCTGGATCCAGCACAGGAGTAATGTGGACAGAAGGAATTTCCATCCATGGGTGCAACTTTATCGCTCCTTCCTGTTGCAGCCCCAAATACCCTGCTCCAGTGTTGCTCATGGAGGAGGGGGGACCGTAGGAACAGCACCTGGGGGAAGGGAGTCCATAGTGGAAGGAGGGAATAGGTGGAAATCCCCCCCCCCCTTCTACCTGCAGAAATCCATCATGGAATTCAAGCCCTTATGTCTGTCTACATGGAGGTAACCGCTACTGTGTTCAGTGGAAGATGGTCCCAGATCTGCATCAGATTACCAACCGGTTCATAATAGAAAAGAGTGAGAATCCTTAAAGACTAACAAAATGGCTCACTTCTTCAGTGACTCACAAAAGCTCCTCCCCTGCCACAAATTTTGTTAGTCTTTAAGGCGCTACTGGACTCTCGCTCTTTTCTCATGCTACAGACTGTCAGAGCCTCTGGAGAAATCAGTTCCCAATAACAGTCATTCAGGAGAATTAAAGTTTATTGAGACATTGATAGGATCCAGACTCTTAATGATTCTTTGTTAGAACTGGGACAAGTGGCGAAGCAAGCAATTATACTAAAGTCAAACAGGTCATTAATGGCTCTTGGCCAATTGCACCTAAACTAGAAAGTCCACCGGAATAATGGTATGCAGATCTCAGGGGAAAGAGGATACCAGACACAGTTAGGTCTCAAGGTTACATGGTTCAGTCAAGACAGATAACAGTATAGCAGCCAGTATATCACCCCCCACCTCTCTATGGCAACCAAGGCATGGTTGACACAGACAGACTAACACAGCTACAGACTAACTTGGCTACCCATCTTGATACAGCTATTTCATACGTTCCTGGTTCTGATTTTAATGATTGTCGTAGTCTTTTATACTGCACTTAAATTAATATCCACTCTGTTATGCAGAATCAAGACATTACAAGTTGCAGTATTGGTTTTCTTTATTGCTTGCTTCCAAGAGATATTCATTGGGTTGAGGTGTCAATAGATAAAACAGGCTGTGCATTTTTGAGGATTAGTCTTCTGTTCTTCATTCATTATTCTGCAGAAACCTATGCCTTGTTTTTCTTCCTCCTCCCACTCAGTATCTCTCACCATCTCTGGCTTGCTTTCACACCAGCTGCAGTTTTATCACATCATTTTCACATAAATGACTCAGTCCATTTTCTTTAAGGTTGCAATTTATTTGCACATTAGCAGGGTAGGTTAAAGGGGTGACAAGCCTAAGAAAATTAAAAAAACCCATGCACAGGGGTGGATTAAGGCTCAGGGGTGCCCTAAGCACTGACCAATCTTGGTGCCCCCCTCCTTTCCACACTGACCCAGTCCATTTTAGTGGTTGACCTGTCTGACCAGAAATACAATGCAGGTTGCAGCAATACAAAAATGTATTCATAGGATAACACAATATACTGTACCAACTAAGCTTTTCACCCTTTTCCCAATTTTGTGGTGCCCCCTTTGGCCCTGGTGCCCTAAGCACGTGCCTAGTCTGCTTAATGGTTAATCCGCCCCTGCCCATGCATATCTTTGGCAGGGCGGATTCTGCCTTGATAGAAGGGGCTGCTTTAAATGATCCATGATATGCCTTCTGTCTTTCCCAGTACACAGTTTCATTTCTATGACATGTCACTCAGGCTTCCTGTCAACATTTTAGGCCTTTTTACTGCCCTCATCAGAGATATCGTCAACTGAGAAGGTAGTGAAAGTCTACAGGAAGTGGATACTGCAAGAAAAGCCCGTGTTCATGGAAGAGCCAGATGTGAAGGAAGCTGTTCAAGAGGATGAGAACATCTTGAACCCTTCAGCAGCAGAGACAGATGGCAAACATGTATGCTACCGTTCATTACTAAATAGGTAGAAAGTTTATGATGTGTATTCCTTGGGATTTACAAACAGCCCTGTGATCTGTGACTGTTGGCCAAGAAAAGATGGCTGAGGGGTGACATGATTGAGGTTTACAAGATTATGCATGGGAATGAACAGGTAGAGAAAGAGATACTTTTCTCCCTTTCTCACAATACAAGAACTCGTGGGCACTCCATGAAATTGCTGAGCGGTCGGGTTAGAACGAATAAAAGGAAGTACTTCTTCACCCAAAGAGTGATTAACACATGGAATTCACTGCCACAGGAGGTGGTGGCGGCTACAAGCTTGGACGGCTTCAAAAGGGAATTAGATAGGCATATGGAGCAGAGGTCCATCAGTGGCTATTAGCCACAAGGTATAGATAGGGGATCTGGGGCAGGGGATGCTCTGTCTTCTTGGTGCTTGGGGGGGGGGGGTCAACAGTGGGAGGGCTTCTAATGTCCTGGCCCCACTGGTGGACCTCCTGATGGCACCTGGTATTTTTGGCCCCTGTGTGACAGAGTGTTGGACTAGATGGGCCTTTGGCCTGATCCAACATTGGCGTCTCTTATGTTCTTATGTTCTTATGTTCTTAAGATAGCAACGGGGTGGTATGCAAGACAACACATGAGACTAAGTTTGCGACGCTCTGCTATGGGTAACTGTGTTCCCATTCCCCTCCTCTCACCCCCACTAGCCTCTCTCAGTCTCTAGAGCAGGGCTATTTTTGGGCAGGAACGCACAGGAACGGAGTTCCGGCTGGCTCCCGAGTTGGCCACGCCCAGCAGGAACTCATTAGCATAACAGGCCACGCCCAACAGCAGGAACTCATTAGGATTGGCTACATTAGGGGTGTGTGGCCTAACTAGGCTTACCAAGCATCACATCCTGGCGACGGCGGGTGCAGCGCGCACAGCCGTCCCCCGCGGCACGCATCCTGCCAGGAAATAGATTTCCCCCGCCGGCGTTTGGTAAGCCTAGGCCTAACATGCAAAGGAGTTCCTGCAACAAAAAAAGGCCCTGGGTTTTGACCACAAACAAGGTAAACAGAATAAGAAGCAAAAGGTGGGTGTGGCTGGATAACCACACTTCTGGTAACATGGGGGTGTGGCCTAATATGCTAATGAGTTTCAGCTGTTAGGTGTGGCCTGTTATGCTAATGAGTTCCTGCTGGGCTTTTTCTACAAAAAAAGCCCTGCTCTAGAGAATCTCCCTCAGCCGTATAGAAGCTTTGCTGACTCTCCAAAACTCAACAGGGCCCTATTATCTAATGCTTAGAGCACAGGAAGGAGGCTGTTTATGAAGCTGCGTGAAGACCTGACCTTGCTCTGCTGACTGATTTGGCACAGGGAACTGTCCTGCCCCTTTTGGGTTTTCACTTGCGGTGACTGCATAGCCAGCAATTCTGCAGTTATCTCTTAATTTTTTGTTTCTTTAAAACATTCTCTGTGACTTCACGAAACGATGTGGAACAAACAGTGAAGTATTTGGGTAATAAGTTATTTTCTTTTGTGCTCAGGGTGCTGTATGTAGAGAACTTTCCTGTTACAAGTAGCATTTGGCTATAGCAGCACTTAAATGACATATATTATGCATGCCTATAAATACATAATAGCACACTTAAGACAGTTTTATTAGGGTTCCATATGGGGCCATTTTATAAGTGGAATGTTTGGATTTGTAATTCATAATTTTCTTACCAGTTACTTTCTACTCCTAATAGAAATATAGATGCACAGTCCACTTTTTTAACATTGTTAAATGAATCTTCACCTTATCATGCAGGTTTGGAGTATAAAAAGTTACAGGGCTGGATTTCTCTGTTCAGTCAAGGGGGGGTTTCTAAGGATTGTTGGACAGTCTTTCATAACTTTCATGGTTGCCACAGAACAAAGTTTGAGTCCAGTGGCACCTTTAAGACCAACAAAGTTTAATTCTGGGTATAAGCTTTTGTGTGCATGCACACTTCTGAAGGATTAAACTTTGTTGATCTTAAAGGTGCCACTGGACTCTAACTTTGTTCTGTTGCTTAAGATCAACACGGCTACCCACCTGAATCTATTGTTGCCAGAGTTAGTGCCGCAGAAACTGGACTGTATTCTGAATCCAAGCGAGTCCCAAATGGGGCAGCAGGCCCCGTGTTAAGTCACCATACTGGGAACATCAGGAGACCAGTGTTCCCTGTATGCTGAGTTAGTGTGAGCTAGCTCACAGTTTTTTAGCCTCCGGCTCACACATTTTTGTCTTTGCTCAGGAGGGGTGGCTCCAGAGCAAACTAATTTAAGCAGCAGCCAAATTGCTTGCTCACAACTTAAAGGCCAGTAACTCACAAAGTAGAATTTTTGCTCACAAGACTCCACAGCTTAGAGGGAGCATTGCAGGAGACTGCACCTAATTTTTATTTATTGCTCTGTTAAGCTTGTATCCCGCCCTATCCCACAAGTGGGCTTAGGGCAGCTCACAACATATAAAAGATAAAAGATAATCAAAGCCAGATTTAAGACAAATAGAACAAGATGGCAACTAAAACAAAGACAACAACCCCAGAGCAGTCCATAGCGCCTCCTGCAGGATGTTAGCTAATAAATTACTGTGAGCTGTAAGTCCCGTAGGGCCCTGATCTCAGATGGGAGTGTGTTCCACCAGGGCCGGGGCCTGATTGAAGCTAGGCAGATGTCTTTCAGGCCAGGGACTACCAGTAGATGCTGATCTACAGAGCACAAGGCTCTCCAGGGGGGGCACATATGGGGAGAGACGGTCCCATAGGTATGCTGGCCCCAGGCTGCATAGGGCTTTAAAGGTCAATGCCATAACTTTGAACTGGATCTGGTACCCAGTGGGCAGCCAGTGCAGTTCGGCGTAGCACTGGCTGTATACGCGCTGTCAGGACACCGCCAGATTCTGCACGAGCTGCAGTTTCCAGGTCAGGTTCAAGGGCAGCCCCACGTAGAGCGAGTTACAGTAATCCAGCCTGAAAGGGACCGTTGCATGGATCACTGTAGCTAAGTCCCAGGAAGCGAGATAGGGAACCAGTCGCCTGACCAGCTGAAGACGATCAAAGGCCAACCTGGCAACAGCGGTGACCTTGGGCCTCCACTGAGACGTCCAGGATCACCCCAAAGCTCCTCACCCTTGGCACTGGCATCAATGGCGCCCTGCCAGGGGTTGGTAGCCAGATTCCCGATCCCAAGCCCCCACGACTCAGGTACGGGACCTCTGTCTTCGTTGGGTTTAATCTCAGCCAGCTCCGCTGCAGCCATCCAGCCACGGCCCCTCACGCCCCTGTCCAGAATTTCTGGGGCAGAGTCTGGCCGTCCGGCAATCAGCTGATAAATCCGTGCATAAGATCAACACAATTCCTATCGCTAGCACATCATTCTGCGCTTCTTAATATAAATACAGGTAGATGGGTCGAGTATCTGTGAGCCCATTTGTTTGTTCCCGGTGTATGATTAGAAGAAGCAGATCTTACTGGAGATTTGCAGATGGTCTGTCAGAGATCATCTCTGATACGATAGGATAAGAGATAATCACTTAATGCTATTTATGGCACTGAAGGATATTATTCATCAGTATATGAAGGGCCGCAGTGGCTCAGTGTTTAAGACACTTAGCTGCAGACCGGAAGGTCAGTCGCTCGGCAGTTCGAGGCCCTGGTGCCGCGTGACGAAGTGAGCTCCCGTCTCTGGTCCCAGCTCCTGCCAGCCTAGCAGTTCGAAAGCAAGAAATTGCAAGTAGATAAATAGGTACCGCTTCGGTGGGAAGGTAACAGCGTTCCGTGCACCTCGGCATACAGTCATGGTGGCTACATGACCACAGAAATGTCTTCGGACAGCGCTGGCTCTTCGGCCTGGAAACGGAGATGAGCCACCACCCCCTAGAGTTGGATTCGACTGGCTTTCGAGCAAGGGAAACCTTTACCTTTACATGTATTTAAAGGGTAATGAAACTATTTTAATACTGTGTTCGTGTGCAGTATTCCATTAGCCATTTCCTTCTGTAATGTCACTAAACTCCCACGTACAAATTACCTAATTTGCAACGTGGCCCCATCTGTGGTTGGGCAGGTTCACTCATGAACACACGTGAACCTGCCTTGCACTGAATCAAACCATCAGACCTTCAAGGTCAGTATTGTCTTGCCCGCGTTTGTGAAAAGATTGCAAAATTAGTGGATGGGAGTGCGTCTCTCCTGGAGGAAATTGATGGAAAAGCATGGAATAGTTATGAAATAAGAAGACTCATCTTTTCTGAGTATCGATGTTTTGATGAAGTTCTTTACGAAATGGAAGGTCTACTCTGGAGAATTTCGTCACGTCTGTAACAGAAGGAGAATTTTGTATCACATCTTCTAAAATCATTTTTGTAATTCGGAGTGTTCTAGCATATTACTGTAATATTGCAAGCATTGTTTGCACAATTTGCAGGGGGGGTTTTCTTTGTATTAGTCATACCAACTGCAGCCCCCTGTCTTCGATGTATCTCCAGGGTCTCGGGCAGAGGTCTGCCATGTCCCCTACCACCTGGGACATTCTGCTTGCCAAGCAGCCGCTTTGCCACTGAGCCACACCCCCTCCCCATTTGTATGGGAGTGGGTGGTCCTTAAGGCACGCAGGCAGCATATGATGGGAGGCAGCTGTTTCTGAATGGGACAGATGCACGTAGAGCCGATGTACAGCAGTGCCACTAAAGTGGTGCCGACAAGCATAAGTCCCATGACATTGGACAAAAAGTTGGCATAAAAACATAACGCATGTTTCAAACCTTAACAGGCATCTTGGTCAGAGAAAAACATAAAAGCCGCTAAGCCCCGTCGGTTCAGTCAAGTTCAGTCCTACTGCAGTGCCCAGACCTCCCAGGCAAGGGGGGGGGGGGTGAGGCTTGTTCTCTTGGCACAAGGTGTGTTCTGTTAGGTTACAGCCCCACGTTTAAACACCTAAACGGGGTGTTGGGTTACAGCTTGGTCAGTTTCTTGAGCCTTTTGTTAAGGTCCTCCTTAGCAGCGTTATTAGAATTTGGTGGGCTCAATGCAACTTTGGGGCCTGGGCAGCACCTGGTTTGGAGGGAATTCTTGAAATAACAAGGATACTGCTTGAGGAGCCGCAGTATAGAAGTTTTTTTTAGTGGTGCTTACATGAAGACTTCAACACCTAAATAGGTCCTAATTTACACTGGCTTTGTTGGGGGTTTGTCGGGTATACTTCTTTAATATAGGAATGTGTTAAGATTGCCAGGTTCTTGATTAGGGATGGGCACAAACCAGAAGAATGCAGTTTGTGTCACTTTGAAAGGGACTGCAGTCCCTTTAAACAGAGTTTGTAGAAAGCCAGGAAAACAGCTGAGTGATGGGGAACAGTGTGCTCCTTGTCACTTAGCTGTTTCGGGCTGTCTTGTGCAGTCCTTTTAAAGTTTAAAGGGGGTGCACAAAAAGACCCAAGAAACTGCTGAGTGGCAGAGCGCCTGCTGCTCAGTTGCTCAGCTGTTCTGGGCTGCCTTTAAACTTCAAAGGGACCGCAGAAGACAGTCCAAAACAGCTAGGCAGCAGGGAGCAGGCGCTTTCCACGGCCCAGCTATTTTTGTGGCTTTTGTGGGGAATGGAAAGCAGGGGGTTTAAAGGGACTTAGACCGCTTTCTGCTCTATCCCAAATGGCTTTAAAAGTTCATGGAAGTCCGTGACAGACCCATCACAAACCTCAAGGCCCCAAACCACAAGCAGGGCAAAATTCGTGATGAATTTTGCTTCGTGGTTCAGTTTGTGCCCATCCCTATACTTGATGGGACAGAGGGCTAAGTCATGAGAGCCACTAAATGGCATTTCTGTTACCATTTATACCTTTGTATCTTCATAACTATGATACCCAAGCTCATCAGCATATGTTGATTACTGTTTTTGAAAGCCTACATCTGGACATAAAAGGTCCTCCAGTTGGGGAAGAACCCACTCCTTCTCTAGCGCTGTTAGCAGAGGATGCATATTAGAAGATGAAAACAAGAACGTTAAAGCAGGTGTTCAAGCTACGCTACAGGTAAGCTGTTCATGGGGAAGATGAGATGTTTGGATCGGAGAGAGGTTTTTCTAATTTCCATTCTTATCTTGTTTTTGTGTTTGGAGGTGTCTGCTTTAAGCAAAGTTAACTCTCTTTCTTTCTCGCAAACGAATAGGCACAAAAACGGCTCTGCCCTATATAGAGTCTGTCTGACTAAAATTTTATTTATTTATTTATTTATTTATTTGATTAGACTGCCCTCCCTCACGTGGGGCTCGAGGCAGTTAACAACATTTAGTAAATACATTTCGAAAATACATATCTTCAGATTAAAATTTTAAAACAATCAATCATAATTAATCAGATGGCATTTAAACGGTATTTATTAAACGGTGTTTAAAATGGTATGTATTAACCGGTGGCTCAAGTGGTTAAGACGCTGAACTGCAGGCTGTGGAAGGTCGGTAGTTCAGCAGTTCGAAACCCGAGTGTGCCGCAATATTGGTGTTGGCAAATAACTGCTCTTTGGAAGAACGTGGTAACTTAAAATGAAACTGTATATATCTGACAAAGTGTGGGGAATGGTGATGGGATTCCCATTGGTCCAGTAAAATGTCAACTTGACCACTTAACATTTACTCTCTGAAACCGATACAGGAACTATGTGATACAAAATACCGTGCAATGTTTAGCAACCCTAACCCTTAGGCTTTATTTATGCTCTTTTCTACCTAATATGGACCCAAAGTGGCTTCCAACCAGTGTTCCCTCTAAGCTGAGTTAGTGTGAGTTAGCTCACAGTTTTTGAGCCTCCGGCTCACCCATTTTTGCCTTCGCTCAGGAAGGAGGGCTCCAGAGCAGACTAATTTATGCAGTAGCCGAATTGCTCACTCACAGCTTTAATGCCATTAGCGTACAAAGTAGAATTTTTGCTCACAAGGCTCCACAGCTTAGAGGGAGCATTGCTTCCAACACCATTCCCCCTGGTTCCATATTATCTTCATAACAATGACTCTGTGAGTTAGGTTAAGCTGAGGTTATGTGACTAGTCCAAGGTCATACAGCAAGCTTCCGTGGCAGAGTGGGGATTCACAGATCCTAGTTTGACACTCTTGACCACTGTGCCGTGCTGGCTATCTTTGTATTAGGTAAATCAGCACTGTGGTTGTGGATGCATAGTGTTGAGCTTCATTAACTGATAATTATAACTAATAATGAAGCTCAAGACAATGCGTCTACCTGGATTGAATCCATACCTAGGTTTTCTGTCTCCTTACCAATGCTGATTTCTCCACGCCTATTACCCCTGTGCATATCTATATACCTAATCGCCAAGTCGCCCCCCGGTGTGCGGATACTTATTTCCGCACATCGGGGGCAACTGCAGGGGAGGGAGAGTTTTGTGCACACGTGGGGCGGTCCCCAGGTGTGCACAAAAATCAGAAACCCTGTAAAAAATATCGGGGGGATGTTTAAATCCCCCCGAAACTGACAGAGCGTCCCCTGCGCATGCGCAGAGAACGCTCTGCAGTCGGCCTCCCGCCGCCACTACGGAGGGGGGGCGAAAGAGAGCAGCGGGGGTGGGG